CTCCACTGTCGCTACAAGCATGCTTAGCGTGAGGGATTGCTGAAGAGTCAAGAGAACCAAGTAGAAGAAACAGTTTCACCATTTTCTAAGTTAAATCTAATCTGAACTGAGGGAGTTTTACCTGTTCCGATTTGAGCCCGGAATCTGTCCTGTAACCGCGTCACCAAGGCAGACAGGAGGTCCAAGCCCAGCAGATTCACCTGCAAGCAGATGAAAGAAACATCTGGAACATCTGCAGAACATCAGCTTTGATTCAACAGGGGTCTGAGGTGACAAAGACTTGCAAACAACACGATGAAGACTGTAGGAAACGAGGCGATCAAGTTTCTTAGCAAACTTCTACTGTCCATCAAAGACTTTCGGACGTCGGGTCGACTGAGCAGACGGTGGTTGGTTACTGAATGATCTAGCTGTAATCAGAACCACCTGTGATCAAACATCAGGTTCTAGATCTCTAGAGGGGTTCCACAGGGGTCGGCCTTTGGACCGTTCACTATCCAATCAGTGCAGCTGTGCATCTTTATGCTGATGATTCAGTGCTTTACTTATCCAACACAGCAGGCTCAGCTGGTTTTGGTTTGGAGGCCTCTTTGTTTCCTCAATCTTCCCTACTGTCACTCCCTCCCGCAGTGCATCCATGGATTTAGAAACATCCTATAAATATCTTGGCATGATCAAAGATTATAATCTCACTTAAAAACCTCATTGAAAATCTACAGAAAAAAAAAAACTAAAGTTAAAACACAGATTATTTTGGCAAATTAAAAAAATGCTTCTTATGGAATGACAGAGTACTAGTTTCTTCCTCCTTTATGAGTATTTAATATGATCCATGCAGATGTAATATGTAGATCTGCATGGAGGCTTCAGCAGCTCCTCAGGTTCATTACAGTCACTCAACGTCCCACCTTAGACTCTTAGTAAAGTGAACTCAGATTGACAGCTTTCATCAGACCCATCAGGCAACGTCTCACATATGAATGATCTCCACCACCTTCATCTTCAGGAGTGAATTGAGTCTCAACAGATAAATAAATAAATAAATAGAAGATAAAAATATAATTGAATATTATTCTATAAAAAAAACTGACTCTGACTCTGGGTATTAATCAAAGCCTGTTTCTTTAAAACAATCCAATGAGATGAAAGAGAACCTCCACCAGAACCTGATTCTCAGGACATCTGCTCAGCTGCCTCTGCTGCCCTCTAGTGGACCCAACATGCCACACAGACATCATAGAGCCGCCAACCTCCTGGGAGGCAGAACTTTGTGACTGAGGGGAAGTGCTGCCAGATTGCATCAGGATTCCTCTCAGACATTTCATTTAACTTCCAGTGACACTTTAAACATAGATCCATTTTATCAGATCCAAACAGCAGCAATCGATGCTAAGGATAAAAGGCTATGCTTAGACTATGCTGAGACTATGCCGGGACTATGCTGGGACTATGCCGGGACTATGCTGGGACTATGCCGGGACTAAGCTGGGACTAAACTGGGATTATGCCAGGACTATGCTGGGACTATGCTGAGACTATGCCGGGACTATGCCAGGACTATGCTGGGACTATGCCAGGACTATGCCGGGACTATGCCGGGACTATGCTGGGACTAAGCCGGGACTATG